GTGTGTGTGTGTGTGTGTGTGGTTGTTATACTGTAAATAGCAGTATGCATAAACAATTTGGTATTCAAATACAATTATCCAGTTCAGCAAAGAGGTTGCCCCGTCACTGAGGAATGAGTGAGTTTTCGTCACAGTCAGGTTTGTAGTCTGACTCATTAACTCAAAAGAATATAAGTGCCAACCAAACTTCATCATGTGGGAAATACACTCGTTGGTCGATGGCAACCGTAGGTTGGCTAACCACACAAGAGTTGAGCAAAAATGAACAGAAGCGTCACGACACTCAGTTGGCTACGGGAAATTTACAATGAAGAGTATCATCTATTATTATTTTGGGGTAACTGTGTGCTGCACACCCCTCATATCAGTTTATATAAATGTAAGTATCTGTGTATGTTTCCTTTCTTTGGAGAGTCACTTACAGTAAGACTCTTGTGGATTATTAGTCTATCAGATAACATTAATATAGTATTTTCCTTTGTTAATTGTGTGGTACACATCCTTTATATCAGCTTATATAATAAACTATGTATGTGTGCACGCTTTTTTCCTGGAGACCTGCTTCTAGATCATTTACCAGCACACCCCTGCCTGCAGGCCCTTCACCTAGCCCTTGGTAGAACTCACACTCTGCAAGTCTCACCTGAAATACCAATTAGACTGCAAAAAAGACCAGAGGATCAAGGTGACAGGGGTTCTCCAAACTTTCACCTCAATTTTCCAACTTGCTGCTAGGATAAAACAGGATAAAAATGGCCACTCTGTGTAGGCAAAAATGTAGGCAGTGAATCGAGTATAAGGGAGGAAAAAAACTTCACCCTCTTAAGTTCTGTAACTGCAGCTTGCAAATTAAAGTGAGAAAAGACAGATTAACAAAAGAAAAGGCATGCAAATGTTATTTCACATGCACAAGGGCTTCACAGAAAAGTGAGAAACCCAAAGGAGCAGCTAGATCCAGGAGCTCACATACAATTTTAATAAAGAGCAATAAATTGTGCAGAAGTGACTGGCTCCTAGGAGTGGTAAATTGTGGGAAGGTGGCTAGAAAGTGGTAAGGGTGGTTTAGTAAGGCTGCTCTGCAGACGTGTCTCAATGCAGTGTCTGGTGTTTCTGGAACAGAGAGGGTAAAACCTTCACAGATGAAAATGTATGTCAGCTTCACAAAGGGAATGTATGTCCTGCCTTTAGGCAG